CGTGTCCCCCCGTACCTGAGGGCTCCCCCAATCCCCCCGTGTCCCCCCGTACCCGCGGGGTCCCCGTCGCGGCTCTCCAAGGCCAGGGGCTGCTCGGGGGGCGGCGGGTCCTCCACGCGCTCCAGGACGCCCCTCACCAGCTCCTCGCGGTTGGCGGGGAACACGCCCAGGTGGTCGCCGGGCAGGTGGCGCAGCCCCCCCTGCTCCGCGCAGCCCACCCGCACCAGCAGCGTCTGCCGGCTGCGGGCAGGGGTCAGCGGGCAGGGGGCAGGGGGGCAGGGGCACGGCGGGTGAAGGAGGGGGCAGCGGGGGAAAAGCGGCCCCGGGGGTCCCGAGAGTGGGGGGATCTGGGGACCCCGCGAGAGGAGGGGAATGGAAGATCCCGGGGGTGGGCGAGGTGGGGATCCCTGCCCGGGGGTCTCACCTGGACTCCTCGCTCTGCAGGTTCTCCACAGACAGCACCGAGCAGGGGAACACCTGGCGCTTGTGCAGCTGGGACAGTCCTGGGGGAACGGGGGGTCACGGGGGGCATGGGGCGCGCCGGAAGGGACGGAGGAAATTTCTTTACAGTAGTTTTTAAGGCAAAAGTAGGAGAACCCAGGCAGCCTGATGACCAGCATACATGTGCAAAGAACAATACCACCCTTTGATTTGAGGACACAAAGACAGGGGATGGGAGAACAATTAGTTAAATGGATCAGATTCTGAAAAGGTACGAATTATTGAAACACTCATGAGGATGGGGAAGGAGAGAAACCAGCCACCTCTGGATTTTCACTGCATTTATTTCACAGGAAAGAACCTTGTTCTTAGTTGTTAGTTTGTTGGGAGTTTTTTAAAATCAAATATTTTAATAAAAAATTCAGAATTAATTGTGAGAGTGAGGAGCCTCTTGCTGTCAACTTTAACTGCCCTAAAAGTTTGGTTTGTTGCTGTTGGTCTATACCTTTACATTTTTGGATCCTAAAAATCCCACCCTGTCCCCCCAGCTGCGCATGCAGGATTAGCTGGAGGAGTGACCTGAGCTGGTTTCACCATGTTTCACCAGTGCTCCAGGGGACTGGAAGACACAAACACTGGAGGCAGACACAATGCTTTACACAACAGAATGTTGCTAAAATTAGAACCAATGCAAACAGAGTTGATTTTTCATGACAGACTTTCCAAATAATTTTGAGAGCTCCTTTAAGAAGAAACACATTGGAGATTTAAAGCCATCTAGGCAGCTCCTCACACCCCCTACAATGTGAAGAGAGATTATTATTAAGAGGCATGAAATTATAGAAGACATAATTTGATTTTACAAATTAAGATTCTCTGTGACAGCCAACATTTGTTGATGAGATGTCCAAAGCCAGCTACACGATGCAACACAGCAACAACAACAACCAAAAAAACCAAAACAACAACAACAAAAAAGAAGTGCTGCATTGTGGAAAACCCAGGGTGTTTTCCAAGCAAAGGCATAGCAACTTTCATTTGCCTATGCTCAGAATAGATTGAACCAGGTTGACTTCCCTCAAAATAGCTGAGATATCCTTGAAAGGCCTCTAGATTTTTACAGTGCAGGTAACAGCATCTCCATGCATCTTCATGACTCATGGTGACACATATTTTAGCTTACACAGGCTTATGAGACCTGACATTAAACTATTTTTGGTTCACTTTTGGGCTACTTTTTACTCACCCACACAGAAGAATAATGTGAATGAAAGTGTGTCTTTTCTTTTTCTTGGATATGAACTCAACTCCCTGAGCCTAGGCTAGTGCTATTGTAAGCACAGCATCATTTAATGATGTTCACACATTTTTCTATCTCAAAAGTGGGTGCATTTTTTGGCAGCATCAGACCTAGAACAAACTCTTCCAGATCCTTGTACCTGCAGACACTTCAATTTTCCAGCCTAAATGATTTATGACCATATTACATCCATTTGCTCTTGAGCTAATTTCTCCTCACTTGCTCTTACCATGAGATGTATTTATAGACACTGATCATATCCCCTCTCAGCTTTTGGATTAAAAAACCAAACTTCTTTAGTTTCCTTCTGCAAAATCAGTACACCCTTTCTCTAAGCAGCCAGCAAGCTCCCCTCTGTGCCTGTTTAATTAGGGTCCATCCTTCCCATCTTCCCTCCTCTTCAACACCGCAGCCCTGCAGGGTGACAGAAAGGTGATGGTCCTCCTGCATCGACATCCTTCTCCCTGTTCCTTCCAAGGAGCTGCTCTTATTGAAGTCATCAGCAGTAAACAGCCGAGCCTGTAACTCTCACATTCCACATCACTGACCCCATCCCCACCCCGTCCCCACCCCATCCTCATCCCATCTCCATCCCCAGCCCTATTCCATCTCCAACCTCAATCCCATCTCATCCCCATCACATCCTCATCCTCATCCTCATCCCCATTCCATCTCCAACCTCAATCCCATCCCATCCCCATCACATCCTCATCCTCATCCTCATCCTCATCCCCATTCCATCTCCAACCTCAATCCCATCCCATCCCCATCATATCCCCATCCTCATTCTTATCTCCACATCCCATCCCATCCCATCCCATCCCATCCCATCCCATCCCATTATCCCATTATCCCATCCCATCCCATTATCCCATTATCCCATTATCCCATTATCCCATTATCCCTACCTCAGCACATTCTGGCGGGTCCCCGTTCCCAAATGTGCTGGTGACCACCAGGACCAGGCTCTCGTGCTCCAGGGCCACCACGTCATACTCGTCCATGCACAGCACCTTGATGGAATCCCGGGATCAGGGTCCCTGCCCAGCCGCGGGGCCTGGGGGAGGTGGGCGAGGGGGCCGCCCCGTTCTGCCCCTTGTGCCAGACCTTGGGGTCGAAGGCCCGGCGGAAGAGCTGGCACAGGTTCCAGGCGTAGGTGCGCGACTTCCCGGTCTCCGTGCCGTAGAGGATGGTGGCCTTGACCCGCCGCGCCATCACGTGTCCCATGAGCTTGGCCGAGATCTTAACAGCGCTGTGGGGTCCGAGGGGTCAGCACGGCGTTCCCGGGGACCCCAGAACTGCCCCGGGATCCCGGGGTCGGGGGGTTCACCTACTTGGCCACTTCCTTGAAGGTCTTCCTCCGGGTGACCGTGGTGCCCTTGGACACATAAACCTTCCAGGCGTCGGGCTGTGGGGCGGTTGTGGGGCAGGGCCGTGGGGCAGTTGTGAGGCGGGGGGGTTGGGGTGTGTGGGGTGCCCTTACTTGGCCACTTCCTTGAAGGTCTTCCTCCGGGTGACCGTGGTGCCCTTGGACACATAAACCTTCCAGGCGTCGGGCTGTGGGGCGGTTGTGGGGCAGGGCCGTGGGGCAGTTGTGAGGCGGGGGGGTTGGGGTGTGTGGGG